GGAAAGAGAAGGAGAGAGAAATGTTTTATCTCAGATTAAGTGGTCATTTGAAAACCACCTGGACAGAATTTAAGCAACATCTCTTCCCAGGGTAACTAACCAGCTTTCATACTATTTGTATTAAAGACTCAATATTGGGGGGAGAGGAGAGGGGGGAATCAAAGCAAAAAGACAAACAAACAGATATTTCCCTGTACTAGCAAAATGTAATTGTCTCTCTAGCACCATAAATATATCTTTTTCTCTCGCTATTGCATATCCCTCCAGAAGCAAACAAAATATATATATGTATGGGTTGTTAGACAACAGGTAGGAAGACAGACAGACAGATATTCTCTTGATTACTCCTCTTTGCAGAAAATCAAAGATTTTTGCAAAATATTGTTTTTCAGTGCAAGTCGAAGTGATCTACCCATCTTAAAAGAAAGTTAAACTTACCTCTAGAGAGTGTAGCCGTTTCTGGACAGCCTTTTAAAGGATTTGTAAGTTGATGCAACTGTGCAACAATCTGGACAGCTCTTATAAATAGAGAATTGTTTGTGCATCTAGGTAAATCCTACAGGTTGTGGTTTGGATCTTTTTTCCACACATGGTAAAATATGCTTGTGATAATTGACCAAGTACCTTTTAGTTCCCTCTATTGTTGTCAAGTACCTGATTCCCAAGGCACATTAAACTCTTCAGAAGACCATAGGGAAAAATTGTGAAAAAATGTGTGTCTGAACTGTGTCTTTGTTTACTCACATATGGTAACATTCATTCCATAGACTTAAATTGGTGTAGCTCTATCAAGCTTGGGGGTATGACTGGTGTGTCACAGATAATGTCCCTGTCAGAAGAAGTTTTGCTTCAGGACTCCCCAAGAAGAGCCTTCTTCAGTCACCTGTCCTAATGGATCTTCTGAAGCCAGCAACAGGATGGCTTCACAAGGGGCAAGCCTTTCTGACTTTGATATTCTAGCTACTCTCTCTCCCTAGCTTCCGCAGAAATCCAGAGCCCCACCTTACAGAGCTCCTTTTTGGCCAGCTCCCAGGAAGGGGATGTTTTCTTCTTCAAAGCAGGTCTCAGAGTGCCAATATCCCAAACAGTACAGCAATATCCCAAATAGTACTCAGTAGGGCTGTACAAAGCTTTGGGCCCTGATTTGATTCAGAGGAGACTTAGTCCTATTTGGTAGCTGAATCTCTGAATACAAATCAAATCAGAAGACGCTTTAATGTCTCCAAATCAAACTGAAACTGTCTGAATCAATTTGTAGAGATTCAGAAAGATTTGGAGATTCAGACATAGAGACAGTTTTAAATGTTTTTTTTTTCTACATACCTCTAGGTAGCCGGTGGCTCCTAAGTGCTGGGGCACATGGAGCATCCCACAGAAGCATGGGGGGCTCCCCTTCGCACTCAGGAGCAGACCCAGAAATGGACCAGAAGCACTTCCAGTACACTTTCAGGTCTGCTGGGGAGCGCACAGGGGGACCTCCTACTCCCCCCCAGCTTGGCGACTGATGCCTCCTGGGTCCCCCTGCAGCCAGTTGCCAAGCTGGGGGTATGCAGCAGGGGGAGGGGAGGGGCACCCTGTGTGCTCCCCGGTGGACCCAAAAGTGGACTGAAAGTATTTCCGGTCCACTTCTGGGTTTGGCACCGAGCACATGGAGGCCCCCCCCCCACACTCCTGTGGGACACTCCATGCACCCCATCGTTGCAGTGCTCACAAGCCATGGTGGTACCTCAAGGTATGTAGAAAAAACATTTAAAGCTGTGTCTATGTCCGAATCACTGATTCTCTGAATCAGCATCAAATCTTCAGATTCGGCCAAATTGAATCAGGGAGAGCGATCTGAATCAACGAATTGAATCAATCACTGTTCCCAATTTGGGCCGAATCCAAATCTGAATCGAATATGGCCCGCTTTGCGCACCCCTAGTACTCAACTCCAAATCAACAGTCATTATTATGCCACTGCGGTGCTCTCTGTCTTTCTTCAAACTCCACTCTGTCTTCCCTAGGACTACTCTTTTCTGTCTACTCTGTCCTCACCTCAACGAGAAGGATCCCATGTGGGAGATGCCACCTCATTACGGGTTGGGGAACTGCTCGTTTTTGTTAATCTCCTTTCCTGCTGCTTTTGTTGGGATAATTGGCTACACTCAAGAGCCCCTAATTCTGTAGATATCACTGAGTTAAACAAAGGAAATACAGAGTGGGGTAATCTATTTAGCTTTAGTACACATTATTTTTGTCCATTTCAAGGGGATGATGAGGAATCACTGACCTACAATACCACTGATGGGTGCTATGGATTCATGATAAAGAAACGGATGTTTCTCTTACAACAGGAATGATGGCCTAATGGAGCGTGGACTTCTCAGCAGAAATTAGGGCCCAATCATGACCAAAAGAGAGGCAAGAAGTGGATAATGTGTGGCAAGAGGATAAGATTTATGGGATCCTGAATAAAGACATAGGTGTAATATGTCTTGTAACCAGACTAGAGATCTAAACCCTAGGACACTGAGACAGCTGATTCTGAGGTCTTGGTAGGGCATTTCATATGATTTCTTTATTTCCTACATTCCTTCAAACTGGCAACGCTAAACCATATTTGGAAAGAATCATTACATCTATGGCTAAGTCCTATTTATGAGCAGAGAGAGGTAGTTAGCTGTGTTAGTCTGAAGTTAGGCATAAGGCATGGTAGATGTACAACTTCCAAATTGGCTAAAAAGATATATAGAGCATGAGCTTTTGTGAACTTGAGCTCACATCATCAGAGGAAATGAGCTTGAATTCATGAAAGATTGCATTCTCTATCTATCTTGTTTAGTTAGTCTTAAGGTGCATATGTATCCTGCTTAAGTCATAATTCATATTAGGCAACTCAAGGGCATGTATCTGCAGTTGCTGGCACTTACAAAGAATGTGGGATTCTGTTCCCCCCTGCAGTACATTAAGAATTGTCCTGTGTATATACCAGTTGGAAGTAAACCAGAGGAGGGCCAATTTGCCTGAAATGGAAGTTCAAAGACTCTGTGCTACTCTATGTGTCTCCATCCCTAAAATTATGTATGCATAGAAACACAACTGGTCTGTAAAGAGATCTATTTTGTCAAATGTGGTTTTCCCTTTTTTTGTTTCAGATGAGATTAAAAAAACAAAAAAGATTTTCAGTGACAGAAGCTGAAGCCTTAGCTTCAAAAGATAGGACAATCAGTTTGGTACCTGAAATGTTTATATATTCTCCATGTGAGAATCAGGGAAAAGAAACAGAATGAATTGGAGGACCTAGTATAATTAAGGAATTGCAATGCAAGTGGGATTATAGTGATATGGTGGGACAGCTCATATAACTGCAGGACTGACACAGATGAATATAACTTATTCAGGATATTCAGGATGGAAAGGTAGGGGGAAAAAAGGAGGAGGTGTGCCCATGTTCTGAAGGGCAATACGATGTGGAAGGTAGACCTTTGGCCCCAGCACATGTTATAATTAAGATATAATAAGTCAATCATGTCTTAAATAGTTGCATGGCCACACATTCAATCGATTAATCAATTAGTGATGAAACATGGAATAAGTCACAAGGTTATTACACACATGCACAAATTTAAAAATTCCTTTCACACCATTAATTGAATATGTGAGCAGGCTGGGGCTCCCAGACACAGAGGCAGACCATGCACCCCTGAAGCTGGGAGCTGCATCAACTGATCCACACTCCCAAATGTGGGAGTGCAACATGCACTCCCATGGCTGGGAGCCCTCATCTGATCTTCACTTTGAGACACAGGAGCACATGGCGCATGCCCATAG